ATATTTTCTAACATCCAAATTTGCATAATTTAATCAATCCTACACTTAAATTCACGCTCTTTCAACTAGAATATTATTAAATAAAGCTAATTTAATGGAAACCAAAGCATTTACCCCATACTCATACAAATCCCAGCCGTGAATCGCATACGATGGATCGTCGATCGTTAAATTGAATTCTCTGGTCGATTTTGAGAAATTAAAAAGAAACACAATATAAAAGTCCACATTTTGAATGGACAAGCTTAGACGCGTGTTGTTGCTTTTTTTCGTTTTGTTTCTTCCACGACTACGACTTATCGACTTACGACTACGACTTTGTTTTCTTCTTTGCCCCGACCTTCTCTTCTCGAAATCGCTTATCGCTGTCAGACATAAGGTATTAACTTTTTGAATCAATGGAATAAATTTTTTAAGAAAAAAAGAAGAGATACTCGAAGTCCACCTTCTGCAATGAATTTTTAAGTTTAGGGCATGTTAAATTAGCAAAGTATTTTTTTGGAATCGGTTCGCAATTTTACAATTTTTGTATCGATTCACCGGTTCGCATTGGAGCCGATGACGAACCGAATATTATCTCTCTAGATGTGTTGCCTGAATCATGAATTTTTGGTGTGTTTTAAATTGTGTAAGATTTAATAACGACACGTAACTCCGCATTCCACTACTGCCGAATTTGATTCGATTCGTATTCGGCGTGTATTCGTATACAACAAGAAAGGGACTCGAGTTGTTGAATGATTGCCTATGTTGAATATGATTGACAAAACAATTCTTCTTCTGGGGTTTGTGTCGCAATCGGTATCACGTCTAACCGATCAGTTATTGGGTTGGGGAGTGTGAAATGACGCCGACTTTCAAAAATATTTTTGTGAACGTATAAAAGCTCCATCTAATCCATTGTTTGTATAATCAAAAAAGCTCTATCATTTCTCTAAAAAATGGCTTTTGAGAGATTCCGAAAAGCTTTTGTTTTGTGGATTTTATGGGCTCTTAAACAGAATGTCAGTGAAAATGACAAGGAGTCCGATTCGTCGTTTGACTCTTTCCTTATACATAAACTTAACTTGATGTCAAAACAAAAAAGTTAGAGCACATTTAATTGCATAAGTAGCCAAACAACCAAACATTTTTGAAGTGATCTCGTCAGTCATTCTCTTTAAATGACGATTTATAACTTTTCTGAAAAAAATGATCTTTTATTGAATTGGGGAGCTTTTGAGTTCTATTTCAAATAGGATTTTGTAGAGAAATAAGTGAGTTTTCTAATGATACTACCCGCGTGTCATTTGAAAAAGACTACTCGATGTTATAGAAGTTTCTTGGAAAGTCGGCGCCATTTCGGACTCTCGAACCCAATAGTTTGTCTTTATAGTCATTTATTCCCAATTTTTTCGGGTCGAGTCGATTCTAGGTTCGTATTATGCATTTATTTACACTGTAGTCACTTTCCAGAGAGGTCATTATAAGATGACAATCGTTTGAGTGGTTTGGACAACGTTGAACAAGATACGAACGTTTCGAAATCACGTGTGAAACGAGACTGCTGTTATAGATGGTTTAAAAGTATTGAATACCGGAAAGACGAAGTCATCGCTTATTACTGAAGGAACGTTTTGAACACTTTTTTTCGGACGTTCGGACGAGAAATTTTCAAGTTGGTTTATACCATTCACGGTTAACTGTACAGCTTTGCTAGTGAAAGATGCCAAAAGTGGGTTCTAAAGTTCGTGACTTGCAAAATATCAATGGGAATTTGAAAAACAACGAGCTGCATTAAGGCAAAATTGATAGCACAAAAATATTAAGGTTCGGAAGTAGGAATCAGACGCTAACATTAGTTTTTGCAAAAGCATATTAGCTTCTGATTCTAGAAGCTTAGCTTCTGCTTAGTGGAATGCTTTAAAATTGTTAAAGGCATTCATCCCGACCTCCTTTTTTCTGGTCTCTTGGAATTCGCCTCTCTACGGGCGCCTCCAAAAGGTTTTCTCAAACGCCAACCTTCCGTTTCCTCTAAAAGCCCCCACAGTTTCTTTTTTAACCTAGTTATTAAATTCTGGAACATTTTATCCCCTCATGTTCGTGATATTCCCACCTTGGCTAGATTTAAAACCGCTATTTCGGCAATCGATTTGACTGCTCTGTGCTTCGTTCTTGAGGTATCTATTTATCTTTTGGGTCTGTTTTGAGTAGTGTCCCGGGTAGTTATTGTGATTTTATTTTGTGGCTATTCAACTGAATAAAGCATATATATATTCCTAAAAGCCAAAAGCTTTTGAAAAAAAAACTGAACCATAGCTTTCTCTCAAATTTTTTCCTAATAATAATTGAAAGTTTTATTAATTTAATTTGTTGACTATACGCCAAAATTCGATCCCAAAATTCGAGATGATGCACAGTTTTTAAGAAATGGGAGAGGATGTGTTAAATTTTTTCTTAAAATCCAGACTGCTAAAAATTTGCAATAATTTGCAAAATTTAAAAACCGTTTCAGTCAATATGTTTGTACAAATTTGTTAACCAAAATAAACATAAGATTAAAATTTTCGAATAAGAATTTGACTTTTCCGTAGCCCTTTTTGCATTGCTGAGATCACTCGATCGAATTCCTGCTTGATCGCTTCCTCGAAGCCCTTTCCATCTTCCTTCCCACCTGCCCATCTATTTTCCATCTGATCAATTCCCTTCTTGCGGCATCTTGATTGGGTCGATTGGCTTTGCTTCCCTTGCGCGACTTCTTCATTTCTCTTGTGGCCATCGGTTCGATTGGCTCCAACATCCGCATTTCGAGCTCAAAAACCTGTCCCACACATTTTTTCCCATTACAAGTCAGTCAAAAAACTACATTTTGCTTTAATAGATATTCAGCTCTGGTTACCTGAATGCTTTTGGTTTCGTATACTTTAGTGGAACATGATATTGTGACTTTAGTTTTCTCCAATTTATTGCTTGTCTTATTCATTTAGATCTAAAATAAGCCAAATTTAGCCCTTTCCTCAAGATTTAGACATTTTAGAACAAATTTATCAACTGAAAATTGATTAGCTCTTGTCTTTTGAAAGAAAATCAGTTCTTTAGTTCTTTACCTGAATATCTTTCCTCCATAAACTCTTGCTCCTTATAAACTCCTCCTTTTCTGCCAATTTTTCTTCTTGTTTCTTTTAAGAATCAAATTTTCAAAGCGTTTCTGCAATTTTGATGGCATTTTACAAGTTCTGAACCAAAATTTCCCCAAAAAAAAAAGAGCAAAAAAAATGTCCTTCAATTAGCTACCCATTTGCATATCTCTTTTCTCTAGTCAATTTCGTTAATTTTGTACATTTTTATTGTGCAAGTGGGGGGCGTTTCGCAAAATAAATTTTTTTGAGCACAAAAATACAAAATGAAAATTCCAGAAAATTTACAAAAGAGCAACTGAAATTTTGAAGAAATTGATAAATGTAAAGCGAAAAAAGAAGAACTACTATTTGAAAGTGACCCGCTAGAGAAAAAGTAGAGGAGAAGAAATTCACAGGAGAAAATTTCTGTTAGAGAATGGATGAAATACAGTAATCCCTTGAAGAATACAGTAAGACAATTGGCCCTATGAATATTGTAACTATTGGTATTATGTTTCACTAATAGCCTTGCCTTGGAGCAACTCTGTCTGAGAGCAACCGCAGCCGCAACCGCAGCATCAACCGCAGCCGCAGCCCCAGCTGAGCTTTGAAAAACTCTGCAGCCGAAGCCGAGATTTTCCAGTTTTCAAACCCTGTCTACAACTAGTCATCTTTGATATTGCATACTAGGGTACTTGTGACTTTGGTGGGTCCAAAACGAAAATTTGCGGGGCTAGAGTAGCTGTGGGGTAGTCTGGAATTTGACCTTGACTGGAACTTGGGAGTCTGGAACCTAGAACAGTTGAGGGGGGCCGGAACTTGGCCCAAAATCAATATTTTCCCACGGAAGCTTGCACACAGAGGTTTTTGACTATACTGAATCGACTTAACCCAGCATTTTATAAATCCAGCAACTGGTTTCCATGCTCAAGCAATACAGTGTCTTTAGAGTCAAGTAAAAACCAAAATTTTGATTGAGAAATGGCATTGGGACGTGGGACGAGGATTTCTTTGAAGTTTTGTGGAATTGGCAACATAATTCTGAGAGCTTGATGTAAATTTTCTGGGACGAAGTGGCCAAGAAGTAGCCTCTCAACATGATCTTCTTGACTTTATGAGTGATGCAATTTTGTTGCACTTTGTAGTCCTCGTTGCGTTTTGTTATTGCTGTTTCTTGTTATTCGATTTTATTCAAATCAAACATAAACTTAAAGAAAAAAGTTATAAAAGTATTACTAATCGATTCAGCATAGTCAAAAACCCCTGTGTGCAAGTTTTCGTAGAAAAATATTGATTTTGGATATTGAAAAATAAGTTCCAGTCCCCCAATTACTCTAACCCCAAATTTGCAAGCAGAAGGCACAAATTTGCATACCGTAAATACTGTAGTAGTACCCCACCCCCATAATGACGGTGCGGAGTGTTGCGTAGCTCCAGCTTTGAACGAGTTTTTCTCGACACTGGTTTAAGCTACAATGCGCTCTTAGCTATCAAAAAATAGCTGAAATTCAGGGCTATTTTTTGATAGTACGGGCGCTTCGAAAAAAATGAAATATTAATGAAAACCTTTGCGACTACGCGACTGTACGAGGGGGGTGGGATACTATTACAGTATTTACGGTATCTTCTTGCGCCCAGCAAAGTCACAAGTACATTATGGCGTCTGATGAGCCGACAGTTATAAAAATCAATGAAATACTTCTCATCCATTTCTCAAAAAAGTTGTTATGATAACTTTTTGTCTTGGGCCCAAGAAAGTCATGTACTTGTGACTTTAATGGGCCAAGAACATATGTAAATTCATGTTGTTATGTACCGATAGGGTTTGTGAGCTGCTCAGGATAAACCCAGGGATTATTGTATTCGATTTCAGTTTAACCAAATTCATATATGCAAATTTACAAATCGGCTCGCACACATGATTTTAGCGGCCGCTTGTAGGCGGTTGGTGATGTAGAGATGGTTGAAGAGGCTGATGAGGGACCTCGACCAGAATCTCGGCCATCCTAAACGACAAATTTTCGTAACGATTACAGTACTCTTTGCAAACAAAAAATCTCTGTTAACAAAGCCAAATTTACGATGAATGCAAGCTATTTTTTTTTTGCTTCTGAAACCTACTATTCTTGTTTTTCCTCGTCCTGCTTTTGTGTATGTGTATAATTGGGGGGAAATCAAAAAGTCCTTTAGAGAGGACTGAAAAAATTTCTTTGAAATAGGAGAAATTCAAGTTTGCTTAACAAAGTATCATTGAATTTAGTATAATAAATCAATTTCTTCCGTTAGAGTACCAATTTCTGTCATAATATACGAATTTCTTCCGTTAGAGTGCAATATCTCATTGGCAGTCTCACTAGAAACAAAAGACTCAGTCAACGGGGTGAATATTCGATTTTTTTAGGTGAAGCAGAAGATGTTCAGGATTCTGGCTGAATACTTTTCACTGTCGTAAGATCAAGAACTGATTGTGAGACTTTGAAGTATCTTTAGCCACTCGTTGAACTCAAATCGATGAAATTCTCAACGATACATTGTTAAAGCAGTTCATATACTTTGTAAAATATTAATTTAATATTTTCCAAATCAAAAAGCTTATACTGTAAAAGATATTCAGTATACTAGCTGAATACTTTTTATTTTGACATACTGTAGTTGGATACGAGACTGATTTTGTAACTTTACAGTATCGAACTGCTAAGTAAATAAGTTGCTAGCAATCTAACATTATAGAAATCTGTGAAATTCTCAATGATACATTGTTAAAGCAGTCAATTTCTAATCAATTAAATATTAAACTAACCGAAACATCGGAGAGATTCATTTTGGAGAGTTCGGGACTTTTCGCACGCACATGCGTGATGCAATCATCAAGATGAGCGGCAAGGAGATCACACACTTTCAGACTATCAGAGAGCATCGTGTCGTAAACCTGAAAGTCAAAAGCTAGTTTAGATTTGGATTTAGATTAGATTTGGATTTAGATTAGATTTAGAGGTAATTTAGATTTTAGACTAAATAGATAATACATTTTAGATTTCTATTTCGCTCGTTTTTATGCAAATTTGATAAACATACCTCTTGCTCGAACAAGCAATTTCTCAATGGATCTTTTGGTTTCGGTTTGATGTTGGCGTGTTTTGGAATTGATCTGAAAATTATTTTAAAATTAAATCATTCCATATCCTAATAGATAACTAAATCGATTTTCTAGTTACAGCTTTAAAATCGAAATTTTTCTCACCTGGCCACCGTTGGTTGTTCATCGGCGATCGTTTGAAGGGATTCGATGAGTATCACAGGATCCTCTTCAACAAGTGCATCAAAGGATTGTGACTGAAAAAGATACAAACTTAGAAATGTTCTGGTTTCAGTTTTGATATAATACTTTAGTTTGAATTCGCTAGGAATCTATAACAAGTTGTATCAGGTTGACCGGAAAGTTCTAAGTTTGGAGAGTCCGCTTCCTGTCCGTCTTGTCCGCTTCTTTATAGGTTACTTTCTGAAGTGAAAAAAGAACCAATCAATCTATAGTTGTTTTCCTTAGAAAGTCCTATTATTTATTTACAAATTGCCCTTTAAGAAATTCTGGAAAACTCGCGTAAGTTAATTTTTTAAAGGTTTGAAGTTGAGCAGTCAAAAACGATGACAACCAAAGTTCCGATTTGAGCACTTTTTGTCAAAGAAATCTATTTTAGTGTCAAAAGACAAAAGAAAGAGAATGAAAATTTAGACAGATAGACAAATTCTCAGAGAAATTGATTCAACCGATTTCATTCTACGTCCATTGTAAGAATTTTAGGAAAAACAAGCATTCCCGTTCGGATTTGCTTCAAAGCCGGCTCAAATTTGCTTAAAAAGCTAAATGTAATAGATAATCTTTCTTATTTAATGCAAAACAAACGTTGATCGGCTAATTATTCATTGAAAATCGAAAATTTCAAAGGCGGACAAGTCTTTCCGGCCAAACTGATAATTTTACTCTTGATTTATTTTTTGAGATCAAAGAAAAGAGTTTTTGGACTCTAGAAAAACACCGAACGATCAACTCAAGTATTAGGTTGGTGAATTGAAAACTGCGGGACTTTGAACTAAAATTTATTCAACATAACACCTTCAATTCATTCCAAATAATTTCCATTATTATTGACGACTTCTGCCCATTTCACGGGCACATTGCGGATTCCTCTTCGTAGTAGGATTTTGGTTTGTGTGTGAGACAAGTGTGAGACTCAAAAATGGAGGACTGGAGATGTGCCCGTTTGAGCACTTTCTTCAAAAGAAACCCATTTTGGTATCAATGGAAAAGTTGTAGAGAATCAAAAATTAGGCTTATAGCCAAATTTCCAAAAAGATACACTTAGTAGTTTCGCTTAAAATGCAAGCTTTGTCAAAATTCGTAAATTTTGCATTTCTTGAAAACCAGTTTTTGAATCGTTCTGAAAATTTGGATATAAGCCTAATTTTTGAATCTCTACAACTTTTCTATTGACACCAAAATTGGGTTTCTTTTGAAGAAAGTGCTCAAACTGTCACATATGACAATAGCCCGCAGTTTTCAATTCACCAACCCAATAGGTTTCTTACTCCAGTTTTACAGATGTATCATACTTGACAAACTGATGAGTGAATAAAATTTTTTTCCTGAAACCGTTTAGCTGTAGTCTCACTCACTTTGCACTGATGCTTCAAATGCTTGTCGTGTTTCTTGTATAAATGAGATGGTAACGTGCTTGATTGGTCCTGAAATCGGATTCATTTCGTTTACGGCAAATTTCAAAAGCAAAATCCACAGTTTAACTTAAAACCGAACTCACCTTCTTTCCACTTTTTGCCGTTTTGTGCGCTTTCACTCGATCGGTGAATGACATCTTTTGTGGAGAAGGTTTCGTCTTGGCGAGCTCTTCCTGAAATTTTAAAGTTCTTATTCAATTTTTTGACCTTTAAAGTTTCATAAAATTTAAACCCAGTTTTCTTTTTGCTTTTTTTTTCCAGCTGGTTAATCAAATTTTGAGCAATAGGAGTAATTTTAAAGTCTTCGGATTTCCGATAAAAAATACAAATTAATTAAATCAATCAATCGGGTTTTGAAATTTTACTAATTGATTTAAAGTTTCTAAAGATTCATAAAGCTTTAAATTTTAGATTAATTGGCTAAATGAACGATATAGAAATCAATTGGTTTCAAAGTGGGCTCCCAAATAAAGTGCTTTACTCACAAAGACCGAGAAAAATGGGGTACTTGAAAAAGAGACAAAAATGGTGAAATTGGATGGGGTTTGTTGGGGGGAAATTTGGGGAAAAAGGGGAAAAAGAGAGGGGAAAAGCCGTAGAAGTGGTACTCAAATGGGATGAGGGTTTGGGGGGGCCCAAGCAAGAATTTCTCTCGTTTTTTTTTGAAAGGGAATTGAGAAGTGAAAGAGAATGGATCAACGCACAAGAATCACTCAAGGAAAACTAGAATTACAATGAATTTAGCTTGAAAAAATGAGATTTGAAAATTTAGAGAGATTTCAAAAAGTGGATGGTAAAAGTGATAAGTGGGCACAATGGAATGGGAATTTTGCCATAAGTTTACCTGCGTAAAACGTTAATAATTCAGGATTTAGCTAGTCCAACCTTATTTTGCTGACTATTGGACTCAAAGCTGAATTTTAGTTCAACAAGCTTGAAATCCACTAGAATGGAACCAAATCTGACTACTGAAAATCATTTGTCAATAGTTATAACTTTTTAGGATTTAATATCAGCCAATTATAATTCAAAAAGTTCCATTAGTTTAAACAGCGGTACTAGCCTAATCGAAAGGAACCTAATCGGAACCGAATGGGAATCTAATCAAAACCGAATGGGAACCTAACCGAAACCTAATCCGAACCTGATCGGAACTCAATCGGAACTAAATAGGGACCGAATTAGAACCTGATCGGAACCCAATCGGAACTAAATGGGAACCTGATCGGAACCAAATCGGAACTGAATGGGAACCTAATCGAAACCTAAACGAAACCTAATCGAAACCTAATCGGAACCTAATCGAAACCTAGTTGCCTAGTTGGGGCACGATTTTTCTCTTCAAAACCACTATTCCCAGGATAATTTTATGCGTAGTTTCCAAAAAACACAACGATAGCTTGGGAAAAGGCGCTTTAAGCTGAGTTTCGGGTCTCCAAAGTGCGCGCTCATACAGTGTGCTGAGATACACATAGAAAAGAGGTCTAAAAATGATCTCTCAAAGCATTTTTTGAAGCCAAAAACACTTCTTCTAGCATAAGCATAAGCCTACTGATTACGTTTCTAATCAAATTGGAGCAAAATAAAAAAATTTTTTCCCAGATTTTGGCCATGAGTCAAACCCATACATGAGTCAAAATCGGCCAAAATCTGAAAAAATATTTTTCAATTTATTTTGCCTCTACCAATAAAGTTAAGTTAGAAAATGAGTATTTAGTGGCTAAAAATGGTTTTGCCTCTAGTTTTGACCTTGAAAAGTGCACCAATAGTCGATAGCTTGAGCTCCATATAGTGAAGTACACTATGCCCCTAAAGCTTGAAGCCCCGAAACTCAGCTTAAAACGCCTTTTCCCAAGCTCTCGTTGTTTTTTTCGGAATCCACGCATAAAACGATCTCAGAAAAGGTGGTTTTAAAGAAAAAAATGCCTTTTAACCTCAATAGCGCCCCCAGCTTTCACGCCGGTCTAGCTTAGTATCAAAAATTTTGCTGTTTCGGGGAACTATGCTTGGAAAACGGATTATTTTTATGTAAACGGCGTCCTATCTGGCGTGCCCCTTAAGTTTCTAGTGAATGAATACCTTACTTACTTAACAGTAAGTAAGAAACTATTTCAGGTCTAGTAAATATGGTATAACAATTTGGTTGAAGAGAAAAACAAGATTTGAGTGCGCTAGAAACCAAAATTACTATTTTTCATTTTGAATCAATGAAAAATGCATGCTATTTGCCTGTAAAATGCATGCTATTTGCCTTCTCTTTTTTCAGAAAAATAAATTTTTCAATGTTTTGTCTACATCAAAGGCGACTGACTCGTGAATATTTTCCACAAAATTCCCCAACTTGAAAGGTTTTTTATTTGAATTTCAAATGTTTAAACTTACAATTGCATTTTGCGTTGTCTTGAAATCGTCATGAGATTTTGTGCCATTGATTTTCTTCTTCGATCTTCTGAATAGAGAAAAGAATGGACTCGATCGGGTTGGCGGTTGCTCGATTTGGGCCATTTTAATAGGGAAATGTTCAGGAAACGACAGGGGAAATGATCGATTCGCTGAAATTTTGAGATTTTAATAGTTTACATCAAAATTTAAACAAGTAGAAAAGTGAAAAACGCATATTTTTAATAACAAGTATATATAATGAGAACAAATTCAAAGATTCAGTGTTCAAGATTTTCTGAAAACGTTGGAATTTTGAGGAATCTTCAAATCCTGAAAACAAGTTTGACTGAATAAAGGAACAAGCTCAATAAGCTCAATCTTACGGTAAAATAAAGATCAATTACCGTAAATGCTGTATTAGAATGACATTCTATCATTCTATTCTTCAATACTCCCTAGGGTGTCATTCTAGTAGAGGTTGTCATTCTATTAGACTTTGTCATTCTATTAGAGGTTGTCATTCTATTAGACTCTGTCATTCTATTAGAGGTTGTCATTCTATTTTTCAATACCCCCTCCGGGTATTGAAAAATAGAATGGGAGCTTAGGGAGTCGAAACGATATTATCGAAATCCCAATGTTTTCAGCTTCACCGGCTTCACGAGCCGACTCCTGTAAGTAACTCCGCTAGAGCAAAACTAAGAGTGAATGAACATGAGCTTGAACACTGCCTTACAAAGGGGTTCCCAAACGGGCTTGCCCGCACCATTAAAAGAGTCAACGAGAGCCTCTAACAAGTCAAGGAGATCTAAAGATCAGAGGAGAAATTCAAGCGTCGGACGATACCACTATGAACATAGTGGTATCGTCCGGCGCTATTCGAGGGTGTCATTCTAATACAGCGTTAAGGTAATTATTGAATTAAGGAATTGGAATTGGAAGTTTAAGCCCTTCAGCTAGTTAGTTTAAGCCCGAAATCCAAGCACAAATTACGAGTACAAGCACTGTAATTGCTGTACAATTTTGACTTGGTTCCACGATCTTTCTGGAAAATCTTTTCCTGTGAAAAGAGTGAATATTTTTTTGGAAAAAAATTTTCACACGAATGCTTTCAGGTGGATGGAAATTCGAGGGAAGTCAATTTTCCCATTTTTTTCTTTCTTTACAGTTCTCAAGGACGAGCTCGGGGTAGGCAAATTTTCATGAGAATCCGGGACAATTGATGCTCTTAGAGATTGGATCCAAGGTAGATTTTTGAATTAAAACTATTGAATTTGAATTTAAATTTGGAATGAAAGATTAAAGAATATGAAAGAGAAATTAAGGAAGTAAAGAATTTGAATTTATTAAAGCTAACAAGGGAAGCTGAATTGGATAGGCTGGCCAAATGACCTGAGCCATATTCGACGCAGAATTACATGCTAAGCATGATGCTGCTTTTATTTTTTACTACGGAGCACTCTATCAAAAGTTATATGCGTTTAAAGTTTTGCAAGGAGTTTCATATCATTCAATAGCTTAAAGTCTTGGCTTATAATTTAAAAAAAAAGTCCATTGAAATCCGATACTCTGGAGGTTAGATCAAACGCTTGGAGTTGCAAGACCCATTTTTCTCGTTAACTCTCGTTAGTCTACTTCTTTCTACGATGCTTTCTTAGTAGAGGCTTTCGGTACAGTAATACAGTAGTAATTTTCTATATAATGGAAAGCATAGGTACTTAGTTATTGTAAATGATCGTAGGGGATTGTAGCGGGAGTACTGTAATCTACAATACTAATGCAAAATTACAGTACCCGACTAGTTAGAGCAACTTTTAGCATACCAAATTTCAAACTCTACAATCTTAGCTCTAGATATACGGTAAAAATTGTTCTATTGCAGGTTAAAAGAAAAAAAACCAGCTCCATATTTGAATGCAACGATTTGGAGCACAGGTGTCAAGGTGAAGAAACGATCGCAACTTTCCACTAAAGCAAATAAAAGGAATAAATGGAGGAAATGGAGGAATCTATGGAAATGAAAAGATGAAAAGAGAGAATTGAGGGGGAAAGGGCGGAGATAGAATGAGAGAAGACTTCTTCGTGAATCAGATTTCAAAAGTTCATGAATTAGAGGTAAAATCTTAGAAAAATCAAGATAGAAATCCAGAGAATAAACAAAGAAATTTGAAGAAACACTTCGAGCTTTTAAATTGGATCAACTTAACTTCATTGGGTTATGCAGTTTCTGAAAACCAAGGCCAATTTGATCGTACAAGACCTATCCAACGCGGACATCGAGTCTCATGATTTTCATGGAATTGAATAATCTAATCAAACTCTATTTGGTATCATTCGAAAGAATGAATTCCCTTCTATAGAACTATAGAACTATAGAATTAGAACTTTATCCCACTCAAATTGGGTGGAAGATGTTGGGGAGATTCCAAGGAATGAATCGTCACGCTTTGAAGACCATAACTTCTTCCAGAAATAGTATTATTGCTAGCTTTTTATATTATTGTATGGAGGACATTTAAGGCTTTCGAATGACACCAAATAATTGGATAATCCAGTCAAGGGAAATCAAATCCAGCTCCAAATCAAATCCAACTCCAAATCAAATCCAACAAATCCAACAAGGCCGATCGGTTGCCATGTCGGCTGGTTTATATGGGAATGAAAAATCTAATCATACTGTATTTGGTGCCATTTGCAAGCTTGAAATGTCCTCTACAAAACTATAGAAAAAGCTTGCAATAATATTATCCCTAGACAAAGTTATAAACCTTCAAGGCACGCCTATTCATCCAAAGTGCCTCCTGGATGAGCCATTTTCTCAAAAAATGTGAAAGTTAGATGAAAAAAGAGAATTCAACTTGATCTCTCCATTTTTTTTTGTTTTCAAAAGTTTTTCAGAAACTTTAAAGATAAAAACCTCAAAAGAGGCTAGCGCTGTTTATTTCATCGTTTAGAAAAGCAATGTTAGTCATGCGGTTTCCTTTTTTTGAACTTGAAAAAGATAAAAAGTTGCAGTTAAAGGAAAACAGCCAAAATTTCTATTAAAACAAAAATTAAGTATCAAAAAAGAAATGGTTTATAAAGTCTTCATTTATTAAGATTTTAATTGTATCTAAAAGATCTAAAAGATCTAAAAGAGCTTTGGATCTAAAAGAGCTTTTGTTCTAAAAGTTCGCAGTAAAAAGCGTCAAGTGACAATCAGCATTTTTAAAAAAGATCATTTGTCTTGAAAGTAACAAATAAGAAAGCAAGTTTTGCAGTTTTTTCGGCAGTTTTTTCTGTAGTGGTAAGTTTTTGACTATAAGAAAGCATTGGAAAAGCAAGTTTGGCAAAATTTCACTGTGAAACGAAAGTTTTATAATCAAGCGACAATATGGTTTTAGAAAAAAAATCCCTGGCTAGGGTTTTACAGCTTTAAAACCTTAGGCAACATTTCTTTACCCTGAAATCTGCTTTTTTTATTGCTCAAGCGCTCTTGCCTTGCCCCATAAAATCTTGAGTTTGTTTGGGGGAAAAAGAAAACGAGTAAACGAGCCTCTTCTCTTGACACATCGAAATTGTCGCTCTTTTGCCCTTCTCTCGTGAGACCAAATCGAATCAAATCGAATCAAATCCAATCAAACGAAGAGACGGGTCAACTCTCAACAAAAACAAATACGAAAAGATAGCTCGGTTTGGTACATCTTGTAAATTGTAAGAAGATCTTGTTTTCGATACTTTTCGAACTAAATAAACAGATATGTATTTTGCGCTCAATCAACAAATCAACAAAATACTGCTCAACACTGAATTCAGGACTTATTTCTTCATAACTTTCCTCTGTGATCTTTCTAAAAATGTGCATATTGCTAGGTAAGGTATAAATGAGGAATTTCGTATTCAAATTAATATCAAGATCAAAACGTGAAAGGGACGCTATGTGGGCTAGATTTGTTGTTGTCAGGAAAGGCTCAAAGCTAACTACAGCCAAACTTCGATATAATGAACCTAAAAAGTGCTTCAAATTAGAGGGGCTCTCCTCATACAAGCTCGCAGTGAAGTACATTGTAGAGGTGGCGACTTCGGGCTCCGGAAAGTCGGTCTAAAACACATTTTCCCAAGTCACTATGAAATTCGTAATTCACACAAGAAACTGCCCTAGAAAAAGCACTTTTGAAGAAAAAAAGTTGCCCCCTAACCCTATAAATACCAAATTATCTTTGTAACAAACCTAGAATACGAGAAAGAAAGAAACTTAGACACAGAATGAATAATTGTAATAATAAAAGTAATAATAATAATAAACACTCTTGCAATATCAGAACAAAACTTGTTCTTGGAATGAACTTATCAAAAAGAAAAGCTTTAAAGCCAACTTGCCTCCAATAACTTTCTCAACCCGACTCTTGCTGACCTAGATATTTGATTAGTTTTTGAAAGAAAACTTGATTGAGAAAGTTTTCAATACAACAATCTAGATTATTCCAAGTTTTTGAGAGAATCGAGGCCAGATTCTTATCCATTCATTCACTCAAAGAGAAAAAGGAATATTGAAATTTATGTCTTTTCAAGAATTCGGCGAATACCCGTGCATCGATAAAGTGTTTATGGGAGGTCATTATGGGGAGAATTGAGAGGAAAATAAAATAAAAGTTATTCATTACTTTCGGAGAATGAAAAGAAGTTTGGCTAAAAGCTAGACTTGAACTTTGTGCTATGAAAGTGTAAACACGCCCTTTCTAGGTTTTTATTTCTAGGTTTTATTTCTAACAATACCAAAAAAGTGGAGGAAAGAAAAGAAACTTTTTCAGAAAATGAAGAATCGAGTCCACCAGAAAGAGTCGTTCTCTTTTTTTTGAGTATCAAGTACACTGAAACAAGTTATGAGTCTAAACCTCAAGTTTACTCTCCTCCCTATTACCCCACCCTTTTGTATAGTTGTGTATCTTTAGGCTCTTTCTATAGGCTCAGTTTGTTCAATATCTTTTCCTTTCTTTTCTTTCTCTATCATTGACTCATGGGGGTCATGCGGGTCGAGTCCGGGATTTATGACCCCACTGGATATGTTGTGGACTTAGCGACTGGAGAGAGGCTTGTGAAAATGTTCGAGAGCACGAGCATGACCGCGATATACAAAAGTCTTT